ATATATATATATATATATATATATATATATATATATATATGTTTGTGTGTGTGTGTGTGTGTGTGTTTAATGTACGCCAATATGCATACGATATCACAGAGTACGAAGCAAAAAGCGTATGCTTCACACCACCCAAGTAGTAATCCTAGCCAAATTGGAAAATGTTTTCATGGTACTTTTAAATGAGCTTACGTTGACTACACTAAGCATTACCTTCTAAACAGGAGAGAAAGGTCATTGATCGGAAAACTAAATCAGATAATAGAATTATGCTGCGTTTTGCTACTTATGAGTAGTCACACAATAAGATAAGAGAATTGATTGCGTCACATAGGTCGCTTATGTCCATTGTGATGACCATTATACCCTAAAGCTTGGTTTCTCATAGACACTGCCTGTGTCCTCTACTTTATTCTTTCACTAGATTACTCATCTACACTTGATGCAGAAAGTTTGAAAATAGTTCCCAAACTCGGCGCCATAAGTGCATATTCTGGTCTAATGAATGCCATTCAAACGGTAATCAATAATAAGACCGATACACGAACCCTAATTTCTGTAAATTTTCATTGGTTCAAACAAGAACCTGTTTAGTTCATTTTCAGTCGCCGTTTGATAGTACAAACAGGCTTGATTTTTAAGGCATAAACTAATCATATACTTTCCTGTCACTCCGTAAAAACCGAACCTGTTACGGTGAAGTTACAATATCAGACTCTGGGTTCATTTCTGGTAAAAGTAACAATACAAACATCGCAGTGGTATTCGGGCGAATGATAAAACCTCCAAATGTTTGGGTTATCCATAAATGGTTGATTACAATCTGTATAGGCAAAACGATCCAGATATGTAATTCTGGAAAATGAACGCTACAATCCCGGACAGCCGAGGTGAATAACGCATGTACTAAATGGTCCATTAAATAGACGTTCTTAAATAAAACATAAGCGATGCACTTTATTGGTCGTTGGGACCGGAAAGGTCCAAGCAAACTTACGGATAGTTCGAGAGGTGGTCGACCAACTACAACCTTGCTCGATTCTTGCGACCAGAAGAGCGGTACGGAACCACGCAGCTGCACATAGGAGGAGCAGCGAGTACGACGTATACGGGAGTATGATGTGTCGTGGACGATTTGTTCGGTTTCAACCTAAGTGAAAATGCTCGATTTTCAGTGAAATGTGGATAAAAGTCATCTGGAAAGACTACTGACGATGTGGTGTTTGTATTATCAACTCAAATTGATAGTCGATAAAAAAGGAGAACGTACAAGTATCATTAACAATTTGGTAATGGACTATTGAAGTTAATGAACGGTAGTCCTAATTTTTCTAATAGTCCTAACGGTCCTAATTGTATGCTCACGTATTCGTCCAGCAACTTGAACGTTTCAGGAAAAAAGTTCATCAATTTTCAAACCATTAAACAGTAGGGAAAATGACACCGAAGAGTAAAACAAGATGTAGAAAATTCCAGTACCGAATGCATCGTATGTTGACAGTGTCCGCAAATTCTGACAAGCTTCCCTGGGTTTCCTTTTAATATAAGATATAATGTAGATTGAATTGGAAAGGATAAACTCCAGAGTCATAAGGCTCGGAGGATTGATGATGGTTTTAGCTATGAGAATCTTAAAGTACCCAATCACAGGTGCACTGACCAAACAAGTAAAAGATACTCAAAACACAGGATTGATTGTTAGTGAGAACTGTAACTTGTCCACTCCTAGGGCAGACGTGCTAGCAAAATTAATACAAACCACGCGACTACCGTTACCAACCAAACTAGTCAGTTTCCGGTGTGGGTCCCCGAACGTTGACAGGACCGGCTTGAGGAAACTTATTGATCCCTTTCACCTTGGTACACGACACCCCATAAAACGTTTGAAAATCACCAGAGCGTCTACAAAAGTGGAGTCATCGTACTGTATGCACGGTTTTAAACTCTCTCCGTGACCTTCCTATTGTGCGCATTGTGTGACACAATGCGTATTGTGCGTTTCACCAATGTGGGTGAACAGTGATGCTGCCCCGATGCTTTACGAAGTCCGACAGAACATAGAAGGCCCGTGATGAATCCTGCCAGGATCGGGCGATAGGTATAGAGTCACGTTCTACCATTACTTGCACAATGCATACATTCGATAATGACCTGGAAAGAGCGAGAATATATAGCGAGAATATGGAATGTCACTAGAGGTCCAAAAGCGAACGAGAGATCAGATAGTGAACAAATATCCCGATTTGTCAATGACGATAAAGGTGGTGATGATTATAATGCAACAAATGGGTTTACCGATGATGGCAGGACCAGTACAGACAGGAGGGATAAACTTGATGAACGAGCTGCACAAATCAACCAAGCGCAAACCATTTTGTAAGCGGTACTGAACATGATTTTGATACACCTGCCTTAGAGATTCACTTCATTTAAACATGCACATGAGAGAATGAATGACATTTGATTGCGCAAAATCAGATTGTTTGAGGGGTATCTGAGCTGATAACTTAAAATTCATCAGGAGAGATGACGGAGGAATGCGTCTAGCGTTTCCGAACCATAGGATGTGCTTGGTAGACAAAATTTTATTGTTAACGGTATGTATTCGATTT